GGTATTCACCCACGAAAGCTTATGCTCCAATACATCTGTTAGTCTATAAGGTGCCACAGGACTCTTTGTTGCTTTTTACAGGAAAGTTAGAATCCCTTGTATTGTTTTCTCTGAAGCAATACAGCTGTTGTCACTAAAACTTCACTACCTTCCAACAGTTCTTTCCTATTCTAAGCATAGAGAAACATTTGTGTTGTGTCTGATACTGCTGTGCAGTAACTGTTGGAAATCATTGACTTTATGGCAACCACTGGAGCTCAAAAATACTGCAAAAAAAACCCAAAAGCAAATATTTTAATAATATTCCTCAGTACACATTAGAAAATCTCTCCATACTGTCTTTAGCTGCTTTGGATGTATGGATTGCACTGGTTTTCATGGCCCTTCCTTTCTTCTCTAGCTTTGCATCCCCAGTTTTTACCTGTATGAGAGGAATGTCTTTGTGATAGACTTATAAAATTTTTTGCGGCTTTTTGAACCAGGAGAAATAGTATGCACCCTAAATGAAGACAACAATCATTTTGAATCCATCCATCCTGAACTTACAGTATTAACTGCATAATAAAGAAAATAGTAGGGACATGCAGTCCATTCTAGCAAAGCTTACCGTTTGCAGTCCATTGTCCTATTCATTGTATAAGCAATAGATCCATCAATCAGCAGCTGATTGGCTCCTGCCCTCACTGAGATTGGGAAAGGCATTGGAAGCAATTTTGGGTCATTCACAAAGAATAATGGAGGAAAGGAAAGAGGGAGCAGGGAGCAATTGAGTTAGCTGAAGAGTCTGTGCAAGACAGAGACTCAGTATGAGTCTAGGGAATTGATTAGAAAAATTGTTCACAAGAGTTATGACTGTGGTGAAAGTGGTTTGGGGATGGTTTAAAGGGAAAGGAGAAAGAATTGCAGTATCGCTTCTCGGCTCTCCGAGCTCTGGTCAAGTGTAGGTAGTCTCTTGGTCTATCCAAGGCCGTGATCAAGTGTCTTGATGTTTTTGGTCTTTTGGCCTCAAGATGAAAACCTTGTCTTTGTTTCTGGGACCTTGAAGTGAAAAAAATCTCTAATTTTTCTGTTGTTTGTTCCAGCAGAGCTGGCAGAATATACCACCTCATCTGGAGCTTGTTTGCACTATATTTTAATAATAAATCCCATTCATTATCAGATACTCCACTCAACTATCAAGCAAGAACATGACCTCACACTTTGAATGGGAGACTTTTTGTAATCAAGTCTCCCATTCAAGTCAATTGGCCTAAATAAGTCATAGTAAATTTTAACACATATATTGTAGTGTAACGCTTATGAGAACAGGGAAATCAATGGGAGTTTTACCAGTGTGAGAACTGGAGGAGCAAGTTCTGCATCTCTGTTTCTTTTATTAACTGATATTTGTTTACTGCAGCTACTTCTAGAGGAAGCCATAAATTCAAGCACTTTATCCCAAGAAATTAGTGCTTTTGTGGAACTGATCTGGGCAGAAGCACTTGGTCATTTGGACCATTTACTACTTGAACCAGTAAACAACATCAGCCTAAATGATGTAAGTTAATTTTGCTTAGAAATGGTTACTCTTTAGGAACCAGTGTTATCTAAGTATTAATATAAGTATTTTGTTTCCAGGCAAGAGTATTTTGCCCTTTCCAACCTGGGATCAGAACTATACTAGATACAGTTGTATTTAAACACACCTCCATAACTGTATCTAGTGTGTGTGTGTGTGTGTGTGTGTGTGTGTGTGTGTGTGTGTGTGTG